AGGCCAAAAGAAGGCTAAGCAGAGAAAATAAGTTTTTCATTAAGAAAGTGAATGCAGTATCTCCCTCCAGTGTGGATACTGTGTTGATTGCACACGATTCTGGCTACTTTCAAATGAGTGGGGGTTGTGATGTCTTCCCTTTTTGATCCTAATCTATCTCCTGATCTTCTGAACCCCCACCTCTTACTGGACTTTCTGCCTCCTTTCCAAGCTGCCGGAACCACAGAGGTCCTTGGCGGGCACATCTACCAGCAAGAGAAAATTCACTGAAACCTGGCATTATCTTTTGGCACTCTATAACTTCAGAAATAGTGATTAGAAGGGAAACACACACACACACACACACACACACACACACACACACCCATTTCATCAACAAAGTGGCATTTTCATTTCAGCTGTTCCTGGGGGCAAAAAAGCAGAAAAGATAAATCCTAGATTGAAAGCTTTGTGGTGATCTCCGTTTCTCATTAAAGTGCCGCTGATTATAATCACACCTACGATTACAAGATTTAACACACCTGGCCTTTAAGGATGCACCAGGAAGAGGAATCATACATTCACCCCATCCCATTTCCTTTTCTTTATTCACTGAGTAAGCATAATTTATAAATTTCAGTGAGTGCAAGATAGAGCTGCTTTGGAGAACAGGAGAGAGATTTTCCATTCACATGGTTTTATGAAAGTGACAATAATCTTCCATGGCCACAAATTATTTTAATACTGGTAAGACCACGAGTGTTGCTTTCATTGGCTACACACAGATGTGAGAAATCTGGATAGAGTTTCTATTTCTTCTCTCACTTTACTAACCAGATATTTTGCTGTGCGTGCGTGCGCACACACACACACACACACACACACACACACTTACTCTCTCACTCATTCAGTAAGGGTGTGTGCACTTATAGAGGGTTTTTTTTGCCACTTTTGTCAAAATTCATTTTTAATAGAAAATAAACATTTATTCCAGTTTCAGTTGTTATACCTTAAGTTGCTAATAAAAAAATGAATTTAAAATAATCACTTAATTGGGGCACCTGGGTGGCTCAGTTGGTTAAGGGTCTGCCTTCGGCTCAGGTCATGATCTCAGGGTCTGGGACTGAACCCTACGTTGTTGGGCTCCCTGCTTATTGGGAAGCCTGCTTCTCCCTCTCTCTCTGCCTGCGACTCCCCCTGCTTATGCACGCACTCGCGTGCTCTGTCAAATAAATAAAGTCTTTTTTAAAAAATCACTTAATCATCCTTTTTTAAGACAATTGAAACTGTGGCTTAAAAAAAAATAATAATTCAGCAGGGCATCTGTGTAGCCCAGTTAGTCAAGCGTCCAACTCTTGATCTCAGCTCAGGTCTTGATCTCAGCATCATGAGTTCAAACCCTGCACCGGGCACCACATTGGGCATGGAGCCTACTTAAAAAAAAAAAAAAAAAAAAAAGCAGAAAAAAAAATATTCAGCATCATTTGCTCATAGGTCTTTCGGTATTTGTTCTTAAAGTTTCTGGAACTTTCCTAACTGTAAAGTACAGGGATTACTGAGCTATATGAGGAAGCCTCTCTGGGACAACCAATGAGAAGTTAAGCAATTGTCATAAAAGGAATCAATGTATATTTAGCATGGTAATTTGGACTATACAACGATCCCCTCCCCTCCAGCTCAGGAGGGACATGCTTCTAAGCACTGAGGTATGAAGAGTCAGACTGTTATTTGCTGTTAGAATTAGCTAATAACAGTTCATCTCTGGCACAGATGCTACTGGTCCTTAATATCCTGTGATTTTAGCAAATTCTGTAAATAGTTTGGATTTAATCCAATTTATTCAGAAATTAAACATGTTTAAAAGGTTCACTACTCTGCCAGAGTATGTGCTGGTTTAGTATCCTTAGAAAATATATATAATACGTGTAGATAAATCATAGTCTTAAAGTATACTTAGAATACTGCATTATTCAACCCAAAACCTATTTTAACAAAATGTCTATAATTAAAAGCAGCTGATAAAACGAAATCCAGTTATGACAAGGGAGACTCACTGGCACTTGAAGCTGTGTTGCTTAGAGAACTTTAAACAGCACATGCCCTTAAAGCCATTCAAGGACGGGTCAGGAGACAGCCTCTCCTCAGTCTTTACCATAGGATTCCAGCCAAGGATGGGACAGAAATTAGTACTTCTAAATATTTCAGCAGAGTCCATAGAAGTATTAAAAAGACTTTTAAGAATGTCTCTCTGTCTGTCTGTATCTGTGAGAAGTAGTGCACATATCAGAGGCACAAAGACAGAGGCAAGTCCATACACTCACTCAGATGTGAGAAGAATGGGAGGTGGACTGTTAGGTCATCCTCAGCTAGAGTTTCTGCGGGCTTTTAACTACATGCTGACTACCCATGTGAGTCAGGTGGACTTTGGTGAGAGAATAATGTTTGGTGGCAGGACCTCTTTGGGGCATTTCTTCCTAAGTGGAATACACAACATAAGGGAAGAGGGGAGGTAACAGAGGGAAGTTACTCTTTCCAGCTCAGAAGGAGTTGATGAAGCCCATATATGTATTCAGGAAGCCCATGGGATCCTCTAGCAGTGGAGAGTGGCTAATGTGGCCAACCGGAATCAGACTGTTTTCCTATACAGCTCCAAAAACTCTGGATTGAGATTCATGGGATCCAATGGCCCATAGATAAAACGAATGGGAACAGTTACAGAAGCCAAGAGCTCCCACCCAGCATCTTCTAACCTTCTTTCTCTGGTTGATATAGTGTAAGAGACTGATGGTAACTGAGTTCTGTCATTGTTCAGTATCCCTGCCCACATGTTTCACAGCTTACTCTCAGAGTATTGGGTGTATGGCCCAAAGACTGGGGTGAGACCTCGGGAGAATTCAAAGAAGTTCACCAATCATGTAAGGATGGATGAGAGCATGCCTCCATTTCTGAGAAGCTTTTGGAGAAGGAAAGGACAGTGAGTCTCAGGAAATATACCTCCACTTGACAGCCAGAGACTCTTCATGGTAAGCTGACCAGATTGGTTCTGCTTGAACCTATAGAGCACCTCCTGAGCAATGACATCTCTGTAATCATGAGAAAAAGGTTTGATCCTGTGGTTCTGGAGCCCCAGATGCTGCAAAAGTGCCTCCACAGTGCTGGCCTGCTCAAATACGGAAAAGTGACGTGGTCTTGGTTTGTCAGTGAAGCCAAAGCCCATGAAATCAAGGCCAATCACTCAATAAAACCTCAGGGTCAGACCTTCCCAAATCTTGTACCAGTCATAGCTGGAAGGTGGAAACCCACGTAAGAGCACATCTCAGAACTTCCAACCATAGCCACAGAGTCTTGGTAGATGTGCAGTCCCTTGTAGGTGAGAAATTTGCCTGACGACATGCATGAGTGAGGAGCAGGAGAGAGATGGGTGAGGGGGGCGGGTGTGGAATATGCAGATAGGCTGCAAGCAGGGGCACAGCAAGTAGCCCCACCGGAACCCACTACTCCCTCATCCTGTAGATGAGATCGTGGTGCACCACAGCTGCGTTTTATCCGGGCAGAGCAGTGTGGAGCCCCTGGCGCCATGGCGCCCACAGCAGCGCAGGGCCAGCTGTCAGCTGGGAGCAGCCTACGCATGCCTGCGAGGGCAGTGCCGGCCACAGGAGTAGCGAGAAGCACCAGGATATGCTGGTGGCCGCAGCCCACTCATAGAGCTTTACAGATTTATTTTAATGGTGTTAGAACTCATAGTTTTAACTAAAATTTTATTTTGAAATAATTTTAGATTTACAGACAAGTTGCAAAGATGGCACAGAGAATTCCTGTATACCCCTCACCCAGTTTCCCCTATTGTTAACAACTTACATAACCATGGTGTATTTGGAAAGAGTTTTGTAGATTTTTTTTTTTTTTTAAAGTAGGCTCCAAGCCCAGTGTGGAGCCCAACGCGGGGCCTAACTCATGACCCTGAGATCAAGACCTGAGCTGAGATCAAGAGTCGGAGGCTTAACTGACGGAGCCACCCAGGTGCCCCAAGAGTTTTGTAGATCTTGAGGATGGATGAAAAACATTTTCTTAATTCCCTCTTGTAGAACAGATTCTCATCAAGGGCAGTGTGTACCCGACAGCAATTTATTTAATTAATCTGCATTATTGAGTTGTGATCTGTGTGTCCTCACCACCATCAAGGTCCTAGATAATAACTAGCGGATAACTAATGAGTCCATGCTTGTACAAAAATGGTGTCAGGCACCTGATATGGCAAAATTCTATCATGAGTAAAGCCTGTAGGTCTGACAAAACAAACATTCTTCTAATGGCTTCACTGACAGTTAAATACTGATGTGCCAGCCATAGATGAGCCTTGTGGATATCAGGAAGTAAATTATTAATATAAACTCTCTCTAAAACTCAGCTGGGAATGAGTTTCCATTAAAATCAAGAGGAAAATTAATTTCAAGGTCACTCATTCTTAGCACACATATGGATATATATTTTTTCTTCCCGTATGGGCCATACACTGGGGAGAAATCCAGCCAGACCCACTTGGAGGAGGAAAAAAGTTCAATTTATGCAGCAACTAAAATCTCCTGGATTGAATTCACAGCTAGAAAGGAAACATTTTAAATGAGGTCCTTCAGGAATTCGGTTTGAACAATGAAATGAGTCAGGAAGACAAGTCACTAGAGTTCAGGCCACAGAGGCAGGCTCAGTGTGGTCCAGGTAGCTCACCTGGAACCTGCCCCTCTGAGAAGAATGCCAGAACTCAGAGTCACAACCCATAAACCTGCGCTCTGGCTTTCCTGCAGTGGTTAATGTGCAGTTTGCCTACTGCTACAGAGGAAATAGGGACTCTTACTAAAGATGCAAACAGTATTGCTGCTACAAAATAAAATCTCTGCTGATGGATTCATCTGCATGCATCCACCCAGGGAAAAGATCTGAGGCTGCCTTGGTGAAAGGAAGACTAATAAACAGATAAAACCCAAAAATGTAGGGAAGCTGCAAATGGCAAGGAACTGACTTACCTCAGTAGCTTTCTGGCTGAGGCCCCGAAGCAGCAGTACAATCACGTGAATGGCAGCTCTGCGCACTTGAACTTCACGGTCTGTTTTAGCCACAGCAATCAGGCAAGCTGTTACCTAGGAGGATGACAGAAAAAGTCAATAAAAATCAGGATTGCACAATTACCTAAAGCTTGTCAACTGCGTTCCACTTTTTACACGTTCATCACGAAAAATCTGGCTTAGAGAGGGGTGGATAGTTTCCTCGTTCTCGATAAAGACAGAGCAATCTAGTGGTGGAGATCTTGATTTAGTTTGGCTTTTCTGGAAAAGGGCAAAATCTGGTTTGGAATTTAGGAGGAAGATTAGGGAGTCGGAAAGGATATGCGTATATAATAAAGGTATGGTCAAATTAAAATATTTCCTCAAAAATGGGAAGAAATGTTACTTGTCCCCCTTTGGGGAGACTAAATCAAAGAAGGGAAAGACGGCTCAAAACACAAGTGACTTTTAGGGAGTGAGGACCATGAAGATTTAGCTGAGCAGGCTTCAGAGTTCAAGGCCCTGCATGAATATGAATGCACCACTGATGAAAGTTACAGCCCAGGGATAGAGAAATACATAAAGAGTCAAACTGATCTTCTTCAGCATGTTCAGATGTCCCAGTCCTGCAAATCTAGCATACTCCACCATGTCAGTCACCTGGGTCAATTTCAGAGTCTCCCTGGGCTTCTTCATGTGTGGAATAGGTCTTTCAATGCTCATTTGCTTTAAAAGACAGCTCTATAACAGAAAAGACTAGAAATTACTAGCACAGCATGGTGCCAGATATATAGCTAATAATTATATGTCATAAAATAAGAACGTTGCTATACCCTGTTATCACCCTGCCCCCACCCCACTCCTGGTAAATGCAAAAATATTTTAAAACCTCAATAAAAAGATACCACTAAAAACAACGGCAAAAAACCGTTCTGAGGCATTCATGTAAGATTTAAAAATTAAAAACAAAAGTCTTCAAAGTGCGGCCAATGGCAGCAACAATCTAAAGGTAAGTCTGTATTATTCAACTCGTCTCTTATACTTTATTTCATTTACTGCGTGAGTGTATTTCTCGGCCAACCATGGAAGGATTTCTAACCATGATAAGAAAATAGCCAGATTGTGTGTTTGGAAACATGTATAAATACATATTATGTTTAAAGAATGGTTTTTAAAAAGGTTTAAAAAAAGAATACAGGCACAAACGGGGAAATAGGCTTGTGCAGAAATTTTAACTATGCAGGTTGTATTTTTCACAGCTTTCAAACAGTTGGGCATAGTTCAAAGTGTCTAATTAATCAGTGATGGCAGAGAGATTAGAAGAAGTAGCTTGTTCTTAAATATAATTGCATCTGTGATGTATTGGCACTTAATCAAGTTGTACATCTATTAGACAAACTTGCATCTTGCAAGTCAAGGGAAATCCCAGAAAAGCTCAACTCGCTGGGGGCTGTTTTTCAATAACATCCAGCAAGCTGTTTCTGCTTTTGACCTGGGACACCCTGACCCAAGGCTGTCAGTGGCTTCCATGCCTCTGGCATTAACGGTAGAAGCAATTCAGTTCTGGGAGGAATTCCTTGGGCAACCTCCAAAAGGTAACAATATAATAGCTACCTCCACTTGCAGGCTTAGTATTTACAAGGTAAGAGCTGAAATGAGAGAGACAAGTTAGAGCTAGGCCTGAGTCCTTCTTGACACATGGAAGTTTAGCTTATTCAGTCTGGTAACTAAAGCACGAAAACCAGCCTGGGGCCACATATTGTGCAGATGCTCCCAAGCCTTTTGCCTGCCTCCCTCTGGGTTTAGTTTGGGGCCTAGATTTCCACATTTGGTGGATCAAGGCCTCCTGGCCTAGAACCTTGCTGGTGTCCGGCTTTGCCACCTCTGTTGTCCCACACTGTGCTGAGCAGGTCATGCTTGTGCCTCAGCTCTCAGTGGGTCTGGCTCTGGCTGTCAGGCACTAATTCCACAATTGGGATAGGCAGAAGAATCCTGGCTGGAAAAGGGCTTCCCCTGAAAGGCCAATGCTTGAAACCTTGTGCCACTTTGAAGGTATGATTGGGAGAGGAGCTGGTTATTACAAGCCTTGCTGAGATCAGCTGGAATGGCCCCCTGCTTGCTACAGGCTGTTAGTGATTTATGCCCCAGATAGGACCCAGCCCATCTGCAATCAGCCATCCAGGATGATCAGGAAGAGGCCGGTAAACAGAAGAGTATTCACGAACCTTCCTCAACACCTGCCACAAGGACCAAATCCTATGAAATGTATGATGGTCAATTATGCAAAATGTTTTTAAAGCATAAGAATTTTACTATGTTCTTGCAGATATCATCTTTTTTTTTTTTAAAGATTTTATTTATTTATTTGACAGAGAGAGGGAACACAAGCAGGGGGAGTGGGAGAGGGAGAAGCAGGCTTCCTGTAGAGCAGGGAGCCCGATGCGGGGCTCGATCCCAGGACCCTGAGATCATGACCGGAGCTGAAGGCAGTCGCTTAACCAACTGAGCCACCCAGGCGCCCCGCAGATATCATCTTGAGACAAGAACAGCCTTCTGTTCAGGTCAAGCTCCCATCACCAACTCATAATGTTGCTTTCCTGCAGGCCACTGGAGCAGACCCCTCATCAAAGCCTCAAAGCAGGGAGGATACATGGCCACTCTCTTCCATCTACCCACTCTGAACAAGTCACTCCCACAGTTAGTCTCTCACACCTTCAACCCCAAGGACACACTTAACATTGCCTTCAACCTCTAAAAGCCTTGGCAAACAGATAGATGATGTAAGGTCTTTACTAATTAAGAACTGGTTTAATATTTCTATTTTGTTTCTAAGTCCTCCCAGAGGGCGAAACCCATCCTACGTTATCTTCATGTTGCCTGCCTTCAGGGTCAGTGTACCTATTCTAATAAACCACACTGTGGAAGGTTTTCTCTTCACTGGTTAAAACACTTAACTCATATCCACTTCTGAGAGCCATACAAAGAGGAAGATGATGATTATTCTGGAAATACTAAAAATCAGTTTAAGCAATTTAACACTTGATAGGAGCCAACAGAAATAAGGGAAAACATCACTCCCCAAAATAGTTGGCACATACCAAGCATAATCAGAACTATATAAAAAAGATAATACAGGGGCACCACCTGGGTGGCTCAGTCGTTAAGTGTCTGCCTTCAGCTCAGGTCATGATCCCAGGGTCCTGGGATCAAGCCCCACATCAGGTTCCCTGCTCCGCAGGAAGCCTGCGTCTCCCTCTCGCTTCTCCCTCTGACCCTCTTCTCTCTCATGCTCTCTATCTCTCATTCTCTCTCTCTCAAATAAATAAATAAAATCTTTAAAAAAAATAAAATAAAAAATAAAAAAATAAAATCACCTTCCATGTAAACGTCTGTATGAAAGAATCAGTCAGCACTTATCAAGTCCTCTGATAAAAAGTAAATAAATAAATAAATAAATAAATAAATAAATAAATAAATAAATGAAACAAAAGTCACTGTCCCAGCCAGGGCTGCAAAGAAAATAGTCTACCACGGATTCCAAACTCAAGCTTCTGCAAGTTTGTAGCTTTCAAATGGATCTAATATAAAATCAGACTATAGCTACAGGTTCAGGGAACATCTTGGTCATTATTAACTGGTCTCTGTCCACTTACAATTAAGTCCACTACTTTGCAACACCTCAAACCAAGCAGACTTGGGAAAGCATGCCAGGAAAATGTTCCTTGCTCACCAAGTATATTTTAAGCTTGCTTACTATTTATCCCTCATGGAATATGTACAAGAAGTATTTAATACCTTAAAGACCTTGAAAACTCTATTGCTTGTTCTAACTAAAGTTTCACAATGAATAACATTGATTGATTCTTTTAATTCAGTATTATACCAATTCAAGAACACTAGGATCTTTTTCTTTTTTTTAAAGATTTTATTTATTTATTTGACCGAGAGAGACACAGCAAGATCAGGAACACAAGCAGGGGGAGTGGGAGAGGGAGAAGCAGGCTTCCCACTGAGCAGGGAGCCTGATGCGGGACTCGATCCCAGGACCCTGGGATCATGACCTGAGCCTAAAGCAGATGCTTAACCATCTGAGCCACCCAGGCGCCCTGCCCCATTGACTTCTCACCTGGGCACATCTTACTTGCTGTACTGAGGATGGGCCTCTTACTGTGGTTCCTTTAAATCATATTTACTTCCCACAGAGAATGATAAAGATGAAAATGCTTATCAAGATTTGTTTTCAGGGGCGCCTGGGTGGCTCATTCGGTTAAGTGTCTGCCTTGGCTCAGGTCATGATCCCAGGGTCCTGGGATCGAGTTCTGCATTGGGCTCCCTGCTCAGCGGGAAGTCTGCTTCTCCCTCTACCCTTCCCCCCTGCTTGTGATCTCTCTCCCAAATAAATAAAATCTTAAAAAAAAAAAAAAGGATTTGGTTTCAAGCAACACAGCTCTTGACAAGAAAAAGGAGAAATAGGGGAAAATAATAATGCTCTTCAAACAGGTTAAATCTTGACATCAACAGAGAAGAAAAACCTGAATTTCCAGTACATTGACTGATGGGTTGATCTTATCCTTTATATTCCTTCCCTACCACAAACACCATCACAGTACAGACACTGCCCAAATGTGGATCACCCAACAGGTAGACAGCTTTCTTTAGAGGCCCAAGAACTATAGCTGTGACCGCCAGGTCAGATCACGTTAGAAGAGACCATGGTGGTTAATTTGTTCAATTTTATATCAGAACAGATGACATGGGGCACCTGGGTAGCTCAGTTGGTTAAGTCATCCAACTCTTGATTTTGGCTCAGGTCATGATCTCGGGGTCATGGGACTGAGTGCAGCGTAGGGCTCCGAACTCAGTGGGGAGTCTGCTTGGGATTCTCTCTCTCCCTCCCTGACCCTTCCCTTGCTGCGCACGCACACACAAGCTCTCTCAAAAAGGAAAAATGTAAGTTAGATCCTTTCATTCTTCCGCTTTGGCTTCCCAAATCACTCAAAATAAAAGCCAAAGTCCGTACAAGGCCCCATGTAGACTGCCACCACCTCTCTGACACACTGGCCTTGCTGTTCAGTAGCATGGCAAGCATGCACCCG